CAGGGAGAGTACAGGAAACTAAAATTCTCGTTCTTTAGAACTTTTCTGACTTGAATCTTGCGCGATCCGATTGGGGTGAAGCACGTGCTTATCTTATTTTATTTTACTTTGAATTTTTGCAATTTTTATTTTTTTAACCAATACGTATGAATATATATGTTAATGATTCAATAAATGTATTTTTTAATTGTTAAATTATATACAAGATATAAAAATTGACATTAATTTTGATACTAATATATCATATATAATTTTAATATACTATATTTTTTAACTTTAAAATTTAAGACTATAGATTGTCCTCTTAAATTTTTTTAGAAGATTTGCATAAAAGCTCAATGTTTATTTATATTTTTGGGAATCAACCGTTCGATTAAAAATTTTATTTTTATAGATTAAGTATGTCAAATTTTGGAATAATCTAATAGGTTCAACTAGTTCATTGTTTATATAAAATTTAATATTATTAAATACATATCAATAGGAACATTGATTGGTATATTTTTTTTGTTCAATGCATCATATTACATGCTCATTAAAAAATATTATTTGATAGCATTAAATTAAAATCAAACAAACTTTAAAATGTGGCTATGCATACAAATGCACAAAGTCGACAAAATCAACTATACTAATATTATATTTTATTGGTTCAATTTGATAGGTGTTGAAAAATATGTTGAACAAGTAGATGTACCAATTATTTTTGTATTAGTAAATAGAATTTTTTTATTCAAATGGTTATAAATGTTAAATTAATATGAAAATTAACATTAATAATCTAAATAAATAAAATTTTTAATCTGACCATTAATTTTTTAAAATAATAAAATATAAATGTTTAGATAAGTCCTCCATAAAAAAATTTAAGTAAACAACTCGCACAATACTAACACCTTAAAATTTTAACATAATTTATTTTTTAACCCTATCTCTGCGGCTAATTTGATGGTTTGATGGTAAGTGCACATGTGTAATTCTTTTGGGCTCTACGTACATTACAACAAACTTTGCTTTCAGTGACCAAATATTAGGAATCCCGTCGTTAATAATGATAAAAAAAAACCAACAAATAATGAAGGAACTTTTATAACTTCGTTGTATGGTTTACAAAAATTAATTTTAATAACCACATCAATATACCGTCATTGTTTGTGTCCATCTCCTTAATTTTAGCCACCGATTTTTAAATACCGTCATTAATTGGAGATTTTTGACGAAACTTTTTGGCACTTGGGAAGGG